ACATGAGCGGAGCGAATGTTTAATAAATGAGTGACTAAAAAAGTTTACCGAACGTGTTGCATACTATACTTTTTCTACCACCGTTAGTTTTTGGGTACAACACGAATACATTCACTAAACTGACCGTCAGAATTGACAAACATCAAAATTCAAGACGCGGTCAATATCTCCGAAAACATTAGATTGCCTCCAAACCCGTGCGGTAATATCCCTGAAAAGTGGCTCTGATCCGTGGGAAACGAAACTGACGTGGTAAAGTGACGCTCTCCGCACGCTAGATCTGTGTAATTAGGTATTTTACAAACGGGAGTAGAAAAAAGTTTTTTTTCCTTTCTACAGACTCTCCTTACAATGAAATGAGCCGGTTTTTTAAACGAAAAAACAAATTTACTTTAGCTTTCTTTAGAATTGATATGTCGAATTTACCCTAATCTAATATTAAAAATGTTTTCTTATTTTAAAAATTTCCCATAAATATTTCTAAAGTATATGTTTTTTCTAAATGAAACTGTACGTTTAGGTGTACAATTTTGTTCACTCCTACAAAGCTAAACAAGCTAAATATGTTCTATACATTTTAAAAGTTATTCACAAAAAACACTTTCCGGCGTCTTCTTTATGGGTTCTTATCTCCCTAGTGAGGACAAATGGAACAAATAGGAACATTTTGTTATTATAAGCTGTTGTTTTCCCTTTAAATATTTGTAAATCGTAGGTTTGTTGATAAATTTATAGACTTTAACAGCGTGAGTGACAATTTTAAGCCCTAAATGACGAGGACTCCGATGTACTAGGGCTAACCCTGAAATGGGAATATTTAATTGATTTTTATTCCTAGTGCTGTGGCTATGAAGCTATCAAAATTTTCAACTGAAGATATTTTGAAAATGATCTCACTATCCACTCTCGCCACATGGTTGAAGACGTTTTCCAAGATTTAAAATTTTTATTGGACAAGGAAGTACACCGAACACTGCAATTATAATATTCTTTAGCGTTAATTTGATTTTTTTAATAATGATGAACCGAAATTTCATCAGAGTAGTCACTTCTCAAATTCATTACGCAGCATATTATTAAGTGTGGTAAAATAGTATATTATGCGACAAGTGCGATCAACGGCATTTGACTGACCATACTTTTTCTACTACTGTTAGTTTTTGGGTACATTTTCGCAAAACAACGCGAATACCTTTACTGCCATGGCCGTCAGAAATGACAAACGTCACAATTCAAGGCGTGGGAAATATATTGAAAATTATAATTTCTACAAATACCTTTCGAAAATCGAGCACCAATAACCTGATCCAAACTAAAGCTAATTGAAAAATGGATGCGTGTCTTTCTATAACGTGGGAGAAAAAATTGTTCAACACAAGAGATTCCCACCTATGCTCCTTATTTACTTCGCCAACTGGCAAGAAATTGTCAGTTTCGTGATTAACTCGTTAAAGAGTAAATGTTTACCTTACCACGTTAAGATCTGCCACGGGAAAATAATACCGCTACCAGCTATTTGTTCGTTTCTTTTTGTCTTTTCTCAGTCCCAAAGGCGGGTATCATCTCGAATATATTCCCAGTAGTAATCAGGAAACAATCATAATATCCGTATCATAATAAAATCATAGCCTGTAGAGGCACCAACAATATTGAAGCCTAAATAATCAAGTGTGGGGCCGTCACGGGCCATAACCACGGGGCTCAATTGCGACGGGGCTTCAAATATCAGTGATTTCGGTCCCTCGAGACGCCCCTTTACTATAGGAGGTGTAGCTAGCGAATATTTACACCCCCGTAAGGGGGTAGTCTATAAAAGCGGACGCAAAATTGCCGTGAAAGCTTTGTTGACATACGCCGTCACGGTGTTAAAGAGTGTTAATGAGAGGATTTCCATTCGTTTTCCGTGACAGAAACAAACATGTGAATATTTGATAACTCTAAATTAGTAAGGTACGTTTTTACTCATCGATATGTAGCGGATAATGTGTTCACCTGGAGACTCTTTGGGTTAGTAATTACAGTTTTTTTTGCGCTGCATTGACTATTTAAATGGAGAAGTTATAACTGCGCCTTAAGTGTATCTAGTTTTCTTTTTGGCCGCAGAATTCGAGTCTCTCTCCACGGAAATAACATAATCGCAAAGATTAATTGTCACCTCAAACATAGGTGTGACAAGTGAAAACTAATTATATTTTCAACACCTATTGCATAATTTCGTACAGGGTATGCAAAGTGAGACGTTTCTATAGATCTCGGTAAATATAAGAGCTTGCAAAAAATATTACACATTCTTTAGTCCCTTTTTTGCGCATAATTACTTGTTTTTTGGTTATAACGAATTAAATAGAGCATAGAGCAAAATTATAAAAACATTTTTCAAAATAAAATTATTTCATCAAAGCTACCTGAAATATTTCCTCACTAGTTTGGCAAGTATGCATGCATGCTATTCAAAATAACAATACAATAATAGAAAATAAAAAAGTATATTGTCCATTCATATTACTATTATTTTTGATGGTTATTCAGAGAGAGGCAAGGCACAGTAAGAAACAATAAACTGTTAAAATTTAAAGTAATTCCTAAGAAAAGACTTCAGGCATTCAAAGAATATTTTGCCAGTTTGTGATGAAATGTATTATTGCTAGTCAGTAATATTATTGTCACTAATATTATAAATGTCAGCAATATTATTATAGTTACATTTTTATTCAGCTTTTTGTCGATTTTTATCTCAATGGAGTGAGGAGTAACGCAAAAATTAACAAAACGACCTTATACTTACAACGGCTTAAAAATAAAAACTTTCCAATTTTCAGAAAATGTTAATAGACTCATATAAATTTCTGATAGAAAATGCGCCGATGTAGAACTTACTTTTGATATAACTTTATATAAGTTTGATATAAGTTTTATTAGTTTTAAACAGGAAGTGGACCCCTTCTTTGGCTAGTTTAAATTAGCCACAAAACGCAAAACAGATAAACTATTGCCGATTCACAAGCGGTTTAATCCTTTCTAAAGTCTTTGAACCATCGTCAATCGTTGGTGTCGGAAGGGAATGAGACACAGAGAGAGTGGCGGCATGAAACATTGGAGCAGAAATGCATTTGGCAATTTCACATTTGGCCCACACTTTATGCGGTTTCACCGGCACTAGAAATCTCGTCTGCCTTTGTTGCTAATTATCTCGCGAAGTTGCGCAAGTCTTGTCTGCAAACGGTATAACAAAAAGGAGAAACTGTCGGAAACTACCTTCGCTACGAAAAATAAAACGCCAAGGTATCACCCGAACTTATTAAAAAAATACGTCTATAACAATATATTCGGGCTGTCGAATTTTTAGATTTTCGAATTAACGACTCACAATGGGACGTAAATTTCCACTTGTCTGATTTAATTGGTCAAGTCTCAAACAAGTTTTGGGGGATTGTGTAATTGATTGCCAATGTTTACGGGTCCTATTCGAAAGCCAAAAATCTCGATAATTTCGAGTGGATTTCGCGTTAATTTTGTCATCGCATCTTGAATTTGAACCGAAAGTCATTTTCCAAATTCCAGGTAAAAAAAATAGTTCTACAAAACGCTTGATATACAGGGTGATTCAAAACTGAAGATATTGCACGTAATTTTAATGTGTAATTTTAAGTGATATTTTTAGTTGAAAAGTCGCTATATATTGAACATATTTTTTCTATACAACAATAAAATAGCACTAATAATAAAAAGAAGTGAAAAACAAATAAGATTGAGCCATTTTAATCCTGAGATATAACAGTTTGTTGGTTGCATTTCTATTTCTAAAAAACGCATTTCCAGTGATCTCAAAGTTGAATATTTCCATTGTAGTTAATTCCAGTTATTATTTTTTAGAGAATAATTACACACTTCGAGGAATATTTTTGTCATTGGGACAGTATTATTTTTTTAAGAAAAGGAAAATTTAGTTCTTGTCTAATCTATTTTAATTATTTATTTATTTATTTACTATTTATTAAATGTTAAGAAAACAATAACTTGCTTTATTTTAGTCCATGCAGAAAATACTATTTCAAAAATTCAATAAAATTTTCGATTTTCAAAAATAACTTTTGTAAAAATTTAGAGGTTTTGTTTTGGTATTTAAAAAACTAGTTGTCTCTTCAAGTTGCATGTTGAAATGTGATGTAATAAATGATTTTCAGCGCAACTTGTAAACGAATTCGAACAAACCATAAATACCAAGCACTTAAAAAATTAAACTAATCCCCCTCCTCAATTAAAAATGTATGTCATAAAACGCAACCCCATTAAAAAAGCAAAAATATTTTGCCAAAATGTACAACAAAAAGTTCAAACGAAAGTACTTTTCTAATTCTAGGAAAACCTACGAAAAGGACTCAAGTGGTTTACAGCAATTCACGCATCAAGAAAATAATTATAGTGAACATAATTTTTCCAACGGCAATCAGTTAAAGCGACTAATTAGTTACATCGCTTACTTACATTGTTCTACATCGCCGTGGCTAATTTTTCCATTATTAAGCGATTTAACGGTCGATAAATAATTTAATAACAATACGCTGAAAAAGGCGCATAATTTTTTCATAAATCGTGTTAATCATTTCGCAATTAGTGTTGTACATTGAGCATACCCGCTTGCATGTCCTGGCTTTACTTTATATAAATTATTTCTTCAAACGCTTGCTTGAAATAGGGTGTGTAATTTTACTTACACCCACGTCCACGTCTATGCGAAAAAAATATCATAAATAAAAAATACATAATTGCTGGCATTGCTCGTTATTTGTGTACAGGATCGATAAATCAACGTTGAAATTCCTTAATGTCTCGCAACAAAAGTATCAATTAAAGGTATAACTAATTCATTTTAGCGTTAAAAAAATGCCTAATAGTTTTCTCTTAATGCTAGCCGAAGACGAATAACGTTGCAATTAATTTTTCGCATTTGAATTTTTAAAATTCCGCTTATATTTATAAAAACCGTTTTTTCTTTGCAGGCTCAGTACTAGTACAGGGCGATTTGACCAACACCCCTTTGGTGGCGGCGAGTGCTCAGCCTTCCACCCCCGGCAGTCCCCTGCCAAGTATGCTCCTTCTCCAGACACAGGTAACGTATTTCCATAATTTCTTTTGTTTTTTAATATTGTTCCTGACTATTTTATATTTTTATATTTACTTTCCTAACTTTCAAAAATTTCACTAAGTAGTTTCTAACTGAACATTAATAATTTTAAATACCTCCTATGAAATATTCGTTTCTCAATCGATCTAGAAAAGTTTTTGTTGTCACGTTTATTGGGTATTAAAAAATTTAAATACGCCACTGGGTTTGCAAATAATTATAATTAGAAGCGACCAAATTTTCGTAAAAAAATATACCCATTAACAAAGATTTAACAACATTAGTTTTGGAAACCAGTTATTTATGTAAATCAATTTTTTACTTAGAGTGAAGATACTGGAAACCCGAGAAGTAGTACACGCCAGCGTATTTAATAAAATAAAATTAAATTGTAGCTACTTTCTGACTGAATGACATAAAGTAACCCCACTTTTATTGGAACCATTTTGAATGGCATAATTTAAAACCAATTATTGATTTTTTAAAACTTGGAAAACAAAACTGTGAGAACATATATAACATTTTAACGGTTTGACCCAGTGATCTGAAATTTGTGTTACAAATACACTTTTTGAACTGAAACAACGACAACTTCAGAATTTTAAATGACACGCCCTATATTTTTGCCCTTTTGTATTTAGGAGATTATTCTAAACATGATAGGAAAAAATCTTTGTTTATTTAATAATTTTTATTTCATATTAAAAATTGTATCTAGGCAGCTAATGACAATACTATAATTTACCGGGTCGACTGGTAATGGGAAAAATTCTGAATTAAACATTTCCTTACTTGTTTAATAGCAAATAACATTTGCTGTAATCAATTCGTATTTTTTTAGTATAACCTAGTATTTTCAAATATCATAGTGGGAACAAACACTTGTTAAAACCGTCATTTTTTTTCGAAAACCCGTTAAAAAATAAGCTCACGGGAAGGAAAATACCAGATCGGTAAAGACCTTTCTATAAAAATGTAATATAACATAGGAGACTTTGCTTTTTATATTGAGTAGTCTTTTTTACATTTACATTAACGCATAGGTTTCCGTAAAAAACACTTATGATAGATATATAAAGCATGTACCTTTATTATAAGTGATTCCCAACAAAAATTAATGTTGCAAAAAAAGTGCCGATTCTAAAAAGTATTTCCTACTACGGCGCTACTTGAAAAAACTAAAAAATGATTCCATAATTACATTTACTATTGCATAAATAACAAAAAGCTTTATCTAGAATTTTTGCCATCACCGATCCACATCATCAGCCTAGATATAGATTTCAATTTAATAGAAATTTAAAACCGTATGGTCATTTTAAATTAAAGGTACCACCGTTTTCGCTTAGACCGGAAGTGCATCCATTGACTTCATCGTGTCCAAAACTTGCATGTTTGGCCTATATTAACTAATTTCGAATTGTTGTATCAAACCGTTTAAGAATAGAATATTCTCAGTTTCATAAATGTTGTTATTTTACTCTATTATTAATAAATGCCTTGCTAACGAATGTTAATCCAGTGGTATGCGAAATTTGAAAAGACAAAAGCTACTGTTTTTTTGACAGTGCAAAAAACCTTAGCGCCATTTAGATTTTAATCGGATGCTACCGATTTAGGTGGGTCATGTTCTACGTATGAAATTATTGGAATATTTTATTAGTTCTTAGGATCGGTGTATACGAAGTTAAAATAATATATCTTCGAAAATTAAATCGAAATTACAAAATAATGTTCGTTTCGAAGTATAGAATATTAATCACTTTTATTTGCGTTTCGGAATTTCAGTTTAGATTGGGCTGGGCAGGTCCTGATGAATATTTTATTCTTTCTTCTTCCTCCGACAACGTTAAGCTACCTGGCAAAAGGGTGAAGTCATATCAATTCTTCTCATCCTTCTGGACGATAGTAATCGGCATTTGTTAGTTACGCCTTTTTAGACGCTTTTAATTCCATTATGATTCGCGTCGGATAAAATATGATATTTTATTGTGTCGCTAACAATACAACGACGGTTGCTGGCGACCATAAGTCACAATAGGTGTCAGGAAGTGTTTTGTAAATTATGAGGAAATCGCAGATCCCGGCGATATACCACGAGCTAGAGGTAACGCGATATTCCGTATCAGTTTAATTTTTTTGCACTCGGCTGACTACCCTAGCATATGGCGAGCACGATCTAATCGTCTGTCTTTTATTTAACCAGCAGTGAACTCCATCTAAACTTGAAAGGATGCGTGAAAGAAAAGTGAAACAAATTTTAAGATAGAAAAAGACGGCTAATAATGAGAATACTTTTTGTTCTCTTGTTAGTTTATATAAATTTATAGAAATAATTACGCACTATTATTATTACAAATAAAAATAAAATTGATAGTAATCTACGTTCAAAAATATACTTCAAAATAATTAAGACTGTCTTAACGTTTTAAAAAAATATTGGTCCGGCACTACGTAGATTTTTAGTAGTAATATTTCAAAAAAAGCTTTGAATACACACGTAATACAAATAATTTATATAATAATTAGTTAGTAAAAGTTACTAAAAAAATCAGATAATCTAATATGTAATAGCGGTTAATAACTTACCAAAAAAAAAAAATAACTTTATACAACACAACCCAATAATTTACCATTTAAAAAAATATTTATGAGGTAACAACAGCATTCATTTATTGTATTTTAGGTATACTTCACTATCACATCATTTTGGTCAAAGAAGGCTAAACGAATAAAAGGATTTGACAATTTGTAGAAAAATTGGGAAATCTTTTAAAACAATCTCTTATTACACTTACCGTTTATTAGTATTAACGTTTTTTTTTTTTCAAATAAACTTCCACTGCCACTGCAATCAGTTGTTGATAAACCCAACTTGCTGACGTTTCGCTAATCATCCTGCTGGCTTCTTCAGAGCTTAACTGAAACTAACAAAGAAAAGGATCCTTATATTACTACCAGTCAAGTTGTTTACAAATATTTGAAAATGATATTTACGTTTTTACGACGAAAAATAAAACAAGAAGTCTAAATTGCTGTACAATTATCGCAGAATGAAGAATTCCTTGTCATTTTTATGCGTTCAATAGTTGGATTTACATTTACAATCAATAAATAATGCATATCTTAGTGAGATATCTATAGGCATGTCAACGCATTTAGTCCTAAACTAGGCCAATATTTTGCATACTATGCGTAGTAACGGACACGCCTTTTACTAATAGCACTTTGTTCTTGACTCACAGTCGTGATTTAATATATTATTCATAAATCTATCGATTTCAATGGTTTAAAAAATCGATGAGATCATGTCAACGGTTTCATACTCATTGTTTTCAAAATATTCTATTATTTTTAAAGTGAAAATTAAAATAATTTAAACACCCTGGTATAATTTTACAATCTAAAAGTTAAAAAAAAGAATATTTTCAATATTATCTGGCTAGTAGGCAAGTGCAGAATATTCTGGATTATTAAAAAATACGACACAATTGTCAGCGAAAAGTTGCAAGTGCCGTTCGGAACTGTCGCAACAATTATTTAAAGTGCCGTAAAACAAAACTGTAATGGGAATGGTCATTTGCCTCTAAAACAATTTGATTTTGGCAGTGCAAATATTAAAAATCAGACAGTGTGAAACACAAAAATAAATTACGGAAAAACGTTGATATTATTATGAAATTATTGCATGAGAGTTTAAAATAGTTATTGTCATATTCCCCGATTCAGCAATGACGAACGGTCAAATACTTTTTATTGCAGATTTCAATTACAGGAGCAGCAGCATTCCATAGATCAATTATCAGCGTTTGTTCAGAGATTTTAACAGCATCGTGTGTGCTTTCAAGCGGAACCAAATAGAACTGCTTTCTTTACTATTCGTACTTGCATACGACAAAGCTATTTTGTTTTCCTTAAAGGAATAAATAAAATGGAATATACATAAATAGTAAGCAAATATAAAAGAAAAATTAATTAACCCAATGTATACTATGTTACTACTACTTACGTACCAACTAGAAATTTTGTTTTCGTACATCGGGTCACAAAAAATCTAAAAATTGTTTCACAATATTTGATAAATTTCTTCAAAAAAACTTTTCTTTTGTAATAATAAAATCAAACTTTGCAAAGGAAACGCAAATTAAATCAAAACTATACATAACGGGTGATTCAATAAGAGTTTCCACATTACAATCTGGAATATTTTTGAAACGCCACTGTATTTGTTTATTATCATATGAGATTTTTAACCTCAAAACATAAACAAAATTAGTCATGGAGCAATATACGATTAACAACGTGTAAAAATTGTGCAAGCCTATTATGAAAATGGTCGATAAAGAAAAAAAGCATTTCGGGCTCTACGTGAATTTTTCGGCGTGCAAAATCGACCTTCTGAGAGGACAATTTGGAATGAGGTTCAAAAATTTTGAGCAAACTGGATTTGTAACTAACCTCAAAGTTCCTCAACGTGCTCGTGCAGTTCGGACAGATCAAAATATTGCCATTGTTCGCGAAAGTGTAGCCGAAGATCCAAACACATCGATTCATCATCGATCGCAGCAAGTGGGCCTTACGTATTCAACCACACCGCGAATTTTAACAAAAGACTTGCACGTACACCCATATAAAGTCCAAATAACTCAGGAGTTGAAACCTCCAGATCATCAACAGCGCCACGTGTTTGCAGAATGGATACGAGAACAAGGGGTTCATTTTTCAACGAAAATAATCTTTAGCGATGATTCACATTTTTACGTTGGTAGCTTTGTAAACAAACACAATGCCCGTATTTGGGGATTAGAAAATCCAAGAGAGATAGTTCAAAAAGCAATGCATCCTCAAAAAGTGACTGTTTGGTGCGCATTTTGGTGCGGGGGAATAATTGGCCGTTTTTTTCGAGGATTATGCGGGAAACGCTGTTGCGGTTAATGGTGTTCGCTATCGAAACATGATGTCTGATTTTTTCTGGGAGCAGTTGG